TGTTTTGTTTTGTTTTTATTATTTTTTTAATTGTAGAGATGAGGTATCACAAAGTTGCCCGGGCTGGTCTCAAACCTGTGGGCTCAGGCAATCCTCTCACCACAGCCTCCCAAAGTGCTGGGATTATAGGCTTGAGTCACTGTGCCCGGCAAGAATTTACTTCAAAAGATGTACAAAAGTACTATCAAGGCAGGACGTCTGAAATGGCAGAGTGAGAATATCTGTAAATCCACCCTTCCAAAAAAAAAAAAAAAGCAATGAAAATACTGACAAAATCGGCTTTTGCAGAACTCGAGAGTTAAGTCAGTGTTTATGAAAATCTGAGGTGCATTTATTCAAGAACTGCTAAATATCTGTAAGGACAGCATGGTTTGTAGTGTTGTAACTTGACCTACTCACCCACTGCCATAGCCCTTTCCACAGCTCTGATGCCCGGTGTGTTGCTCTGTGGGTTCTTTGATTTGGCCACAGAAAAGAATTTCAGAGCAAATCCAAATTGTAGTTTAAGACAGAATTTACTAGAAAGAAAGAGGCATGCTCAAGAGTGAGAATGGGTCCCTTAAGAGAGAGCATGTGTTTGCTTTTGACAAGAAACTTTATATACTCTTATAACCAAGAATAAGCAAACCATCAGCTAAGAGCGGTGGGCTGCAGGTATCTGCACAAATTTTGATTGCCATCTCTTCACCTTCTATGTGCTAAGAGGGCTGGGTTGCAGGGGTCTGGTGACAAGTTTTGATTACCGTTTTTCAACCTTATAGGGTCACGAGGACCTTCTAAATCAGGGGTCCTCAAACTTTTAAAACAGGGGGCCAGTTCACTGTCCTCAGACCATTGGAGGGGCGGACTATAGTTTAAAAAAAAAACTATGAACAAATTCCTTTTTTTTTTTAAACTATAGTCCGCCCCTCCATCGGTCTGAGGGACAGTGAACTGGCCCCCTGCTTTAAAAGTTTGAGGACCTCTGTTAAATAAATAAAGTTATTGCCTAACTGGATTTGGGCTTCTCTTAGAACATCATGTCTGTGTTTTGGGTAATTCCCTAACGTTTCTGCAATTTAATGCACTGGTAGATCCACATTCCAGTCCTCAAGGTGGTCAAGTCTAGTGTGCCTGTTCAGTCGGATGAGGGCTGTGTACTGACGTCTGAATGCTTATCCTATTTTTTTTTTAGCAAGTCAGAGTTTATTAGAAGATAGGGAAGTTCTTGGTGGCAGCGAGAGGGTACCTGAAAGTCAGTTGCCCACTTGCACTATTTTAATTTAAACTGACTATAAGAAACTTATCCATGTCTAACCTGCACTGAATAACCTGCCTCAGCTCCACAATAATGAGAAGATAACCCACAGAAAGAGAAAAAATATTTGCAAATCATATATCTAATCAGGGACTTATGTCTAGAATATTTAAACTCAATAATAAAAAGCCAAATAACACAACTTTATAAGTGGACAAAGGATATGGATAGATATTGTTTTCCAAATAATATGTACAGGTGGCCAATAAGATAATGAAAAGATGCTCAACATCATTAGGCATCAGGGAAATGCAAATCAAAATCACAATGAGACACTACTCCATATCCACAAAGATGGCTATAATCAAAAAGACAATAACAAGCATTGGCTAGGATGTCGAGAATTTGGAATCCTCATGTATTGCTGGTGGGAACGTAAAATGTTGTAGACACTGTGGAAATTGGACTGGCAGTTTCATTAAACATTAAGCATAAGTTATTATATGAACCAGCAATTCTACTCCTAGGTATCTAGGATATGTCCGCACAAAAACTTGCACATGAATGTTCATGGTCATAATAGCCAAAAAGTGGAAACCATGCAAATGTCTATCCATGGATGAATGAATAGATGTGTTGTATCAATACAATGGAATATAATTTTGCAATTAAAAAGAATGAAGTACTGATACATGCTACAACATAGATGAACCTTGGACAATATTCTCTAAGTGAAAGAAGCCAGACACAAAGGACCACATATTGTATGATTTCATTTGTGTGAAATGTACAAAACAGGCAAATCCATAAAGACAGGAAGTAGATTGGTTGTTGCCAGGAGCTGAGGCAAAAGGGGAATGAGAATTGACTCCTAAGGGAAATAGAGTCTCTTTTCAAAGTATTAAAAATGTTCTAAAATTATGTGGTAGTGCTTGAATAACTCTAAATATACTAAAAACCACTGGATTATACACTTTAAATGGGTAAAATATGTGGTATACACATTATATCTCAAAAAGCTGTTTTTGAAAAAACACTATCTGATGTGAACAGGATGGTTGCCAATTAGAGACCTGAGAGAAGAGACTGACTGCTCAGATCATTTCCCTGAATGTTGAGGTTAGTTCTGCTCCAGTGCTGAGCAAGACAAAGATTCAGATAAGGATATTGGTAAAACTCAACTTGAATTCCACTAAGTCTACACTTGACCAGAAGAGCTGGCTAGCACAGTCACAAGCAATTCTAATGGACCTGATTTATTGCTCCTACAGTCTGTTTTTCCAGGATCCCCAACCCTCTCCTGATGTGTCTTAATACTCCTAATTTATCTAATTTGTTCTAACTTAATTCTCTTAAATTAAAAGTGCCTGCCTAATTCCTCTGCTATGGGTAGAAAAATAATGCTCCTTAAGTAGAAACTATATGACAAGCACTGGCTCATTTACTTCTCACAACAATGCTATAAAATATATACTAATATAATTATTTCCATTTTACAGTTTGGGAGACTGAGTCATGGAATGGTAATTTGGCCAAGATCACAGAGCTAGTCAGAGGCATGGTCAAGACTTGAACCCAGACTGGTACCAACAACAATATGCTTAACCAAAATTCTATGCTTTTTTCCAAGAAAAGCACTTTCACATCTTTCCTAGTCACTCTTTCCAGTTTTTAAACATGCAGTTACCTAGTGAAGGCAATTGTGTGTCTTATTTACCTGGTTCCCATTTGTCCTCCCCATCCCGCACCCGACATAGTTTTCAGACCGTTTAAATTCACTATTCTGACAACCAGAACCCAACATTAGTCTCCTTATTATCAGTGTACCCAGCCTCCCACCTCAGTAACACAATGTAACAATTCCCACTTTGTAACAAAAAACAAAATCTGCAAAAATTCACTACAAAACTCTGAGCCCTTTCTCCACCTCTAACTCAGCTTTCCCTTTCTAATACTCCCAACACTCTCCAACTCCTCAGCACTATTGCCCACACCAATAACCACCCTCATAGCCATAGGAAAGGTCATATCAGTTGAGATACAGACAACGTGAAATGAGGAAAGGCTTCATGGAAAAGATTGGGGCAGGCAGAAATGGAGGAAAAAACAGAAATAAGAATAGTATAAGCAAATACGTGAACAGCAATGTGTCTAAAAACAAAGACTTTTAGATTAGATGACTTGAGGTTGAAATCCCAGGTTCACTAGTTGTGCCATCTTGGCCAATTTATTTCACTTATTTGAACTTCAGTTTAAGTTCTTAAAAATCTAGTAATAATGTCGCCTTTGGGGATTGTGAGGATTGAATTAAATTATATAAAATGCCAGCTGTCAGTCAAGTAAAATCATCACCAATAAAGCAGCAAGCATGAGTCATTTTTGGCAAACAGTAGTAGTTAACTTTGCCAACGCTGGTGAATTTGGGAGATAAGTCTGAAAAAGTAAATTGAGATCAAACCAAGGTAAGTTTTAAAAGGATAGAAGAATTTGGGGAGGAAATGTGATAAAAGTCAAGGTTTGTGTACAGAGAGAGAGAGAGGGAGAGTAAGAGGAGGAATGGAAAGGGAAAGGGTGAGAGGGAGAGAGGGAGAGAGCTAGAGGGAGAGGGAAAGAAAGAAGGAAGGGAAGGGGGAGAGGGGTTGCTTTAGAGAATGGGAAGAACTAGGGGAGTTACTTAAAATTCCTTTGCAGCCTGGCTCAGTGGTTCAGCCTGTAATCCCAGCACTTTGGGAGGCTGAGGCAAGTGGATCACCTGAGCCTGCGGGTTCAAGACCAACCTGAGCAACTTGGCAAGACCGCTTCTCTACAATAATTTTTTTTTTTTTTAATTAGCCAGACATGGTAGTGCGCACCTGTAGTTCTGGCTACTTGGAAGGCTAAAGTGGAAGGATCCCCGGAGTCCAACAGGTTGATGCTGGGGTGACTGTGAGTGTGTCACTGCACTCCAGCCTGGTGACAGAGTGAGACTCCAACTCAAAAAAAAAAATTCCTTTGCAACTCAATGTTTTGTTTATTGCTTAGCACTACCATTAGACTGTGAGCTTCATAAGGGTATGGATCATGTATATTTTGTTCCCCAAAATATATTCAGAACCTTGCACAATGCCTGGTGCATAGTAAATAATAAGTACTTGCTGAGCCGGGCTCGGTGGTTCAGCCTGTAATCCCGCGCCTTTGGGAGGCTGAGGTGAG